AATATATAATATATAATTTAATAATTAGGTAATCTATCGTTTTGGGTACGTAAAATCGCCCGCGACTTGTAATGTGAAAAACAGGTGACTCCTTACATTTTAATAATTATTTAACATTTTGAGGAGGATTTATGTTTTGAAAAATACAAAAATGTTTCCTGTCCTTGTTTCATTTATGTACCTGTTTTTAAACAATTGAATTAAAACTTTTCAGTAATAAATGAACACCAGCGATGTTTCCAACAGATGCAACCATGCTCATTTACTATAGCAGCCATCTTGTTAAAGTTTTATTTTTATAGACTTATAGCGCAAGATTCAGGCGGAAGTCACTCTATTTTACAAATGGCCGCTGTTTATATAGCAAATCTTGCTTGCAGGCACTGCTGTTTAAAGTTAATTTCTGGCCTATATTGATAATTTAATAGCCGCAGGCGATTTTACGTACCCAAAACGATAGATTACCAATAATTATTATATAGAATCTAAATCTAGAATCTAGATCTACAAATCTAGATCTGTTATATAGATTAGTATATTCTATATTATTAATTTTTTTTTTATTATTATTAGTGTTATTTAATATTTAGTAGTCTAGCTACTAGCTAGATCAGTGGTTCCCAAACTTTTTCAAGTGGCGACCCTCTTTTATAAAAAGTAAGTGAACCGCGACTCCCATAGAATTAAAAAGCTGAAATTCGTATGGAAATAAGCACTAAAATAAGATTTTCTAGTAGACTTTCAATATGAACTACCCTTGATATCTGTTTTAATACCATGAGTAAAATTTCATGCTATTTACTAAACATTCGCGGTTAAGTTTTTGTTAACGCCAACCTATGTCATCATCAACATTCAATTTATTTCTTTTTTTTATCGGAGAATAGTGTTGAAAATATATTCTCGAAAAGTCAATCAATTTTACGTTTGGGTATGAATGGTGAATACTACACCAAAACTGTGTGTGCAGTTTTTCACCTTACGCAAAATCATTCTGCAAATCAAAGAATTCATCTTGTAATTCATCGGGAACGCTGGCAACATCAAAGGAAGAAGAGAATGGGTAATGCGTCAATGCAGATTCTTCTTTTATCAGCTCAGAGAAATAGCAATGCAGTTTGTTTACAAGAGATTCAAGATGCCCAGAAATTGCTTCTTTCAAAATTTCAATTATCTCACAATCAGATTCATCTACCACACTGCAGAGTTTCTCAAATTTACAATATTTCCAAGATTCATTTTTTTCGCCAATTTTGCAGCTTTGATAAAAATGCCCCGAGATGATCATTGAAAGTGATAATATTTGTTCAATTTCCCTGAAGCTTCAGGTTAAGCTTATGTTGATGTTCGAATATATCTGCTAGGTACGATATTCTCTCTAACCACTCTATGTCATTTTAAGTATACCAAAAGGTCTTGTTTCCCTTGCACTTCCAAGAACAGTTTGATTTCAGATTTCAATTCAAGAACACGATTCACAACATTTCGTTTGACAGCCAGCGTACTGTAGTGTAGAAAAGCAGAACCTCGTGATTTTTATTTATGTCTTTGCTCAGTTCTTTGAAGGCTCCAGATTTAATATAATTTACGACTTTTACTAGCAATGGAGTCTTGATGGCGAAGGCAGTGGTTAGGGAGCTAAATCTTTTCTGTTTTCTCAAAGCCCGATTTTGACCTAAACATAGATGGCACACCATACGTACAAACCACCACAGCCGTTTTAACCCACTTTAATCATCCAGTTTTATAAAACGTATTTATTTTCTCCATGCTATCTTCACAAAATAGCAACTCTTCTTTGCTAACATATGAATGAATATATGACTAGCAACTGCAAACACGAACTCAAGTCTGTTGATTTATCAACTTGAAAAGCAAACAATGGTGAAAGCTTGATTTCATTAAAACATTTTTATTTAAAATCTACGGACATGTCTGCTATAAGCAGCTGAATAGTATTTTTAGGCAGAGATATTTGTTGCATCTTTACTGCACTGGAATCCCCAAGAATTAACTTCACCATCTTCAACATGCAGCGTTTGATGAGATTTTCTCCTATTGTGTTTTTTTTTTTTTTTTTGGTTGGCATTTTCTATCCCGACTCCATTTGATGCTTGCACTAATGCTGTGTTTCCTTGGTGAAAACTGCCTGTTTGATCAAGTCTCTGACGTTTGCAGCTAGCTTCATGCCAACGAAAGAACTCCATATCTTTTTTGGTGTGTTCCGAATGACTCGTCTCAATGACGTCTAAGTTTTGGAGATTTCATAAACTCGTGACTGAGAACAACTTTGTACAGTACACTTGGCCTCTTCCCTATTCCATTTCCAGTGATGTTAGTAAAGCCGAATTTCAGATATTCTTCTAAATATTTATGTTTAGTATACCAGTTAGCGACCCCCAGAAAGGCCTTCGCGACCCCCAGTTTGGGAACCCGTGAGCTAGATCATCTAGATCTAGATCATAGATCTAGACTAGATCTAGATATCTAGAATTCTATATCTAAATTTCTAGATCTAGAATCTATTTAGAATTCTAGATCTAGACTAGATCTAGATTCTATCTTAGATATAATATTCTATCTATCATCACTATAAGAGTATAACGCTAAGTCTTACATTTTTTTTTACTCTAACAGGTCCCTGAGAATGCGGCTATTGGGACATCTGTGACTGAAGTTGTTGGACAGGACAAAGATTTGGGAACAGAGGGACAACTTGTCTATAGATTCTGTGAGTCATGATTAATGGATTCATTAGATTTTTGCTACCATTGTTCATAACCAGAAAATAGAAAAATGTATATTATAAGGTAGGTTAGTAGAAGGGTTGTTTTTATAAGGGCAGAAGATATTTCAAGGTAGTCTTTGCTAGTGTGCTCACCAACTCCAGTTTTTGTTCCAACCCAATCATATCCCTCTTTACCCTCGCCCTTATTCTAAACCTGACCATAGTGATCCTGATAGTAAGTAAAAGTAACATCATGCAATTGTATAGTCTTATCACCATTTTTATAAGAACAAAAGCAATCTAATAAGGTTACTTATATAAGTCATTTTTCTAAAATCAGTATGGTCAGGTTTTTAAACTTTGAACTACAATTAGGGCTGATGAATTGGGTGTTTAAGTTGTTACTCTAAGGCAGGGGTCTCCAAACTTTTCAGACCGAGGGCCGCATTGACCATCAAATATCAGTTCGGGGGCCAGAGTTTCTTCAAGGCATATCTTCGGTGTTATGGACCCCCCACCCCCACCCCCGACAATTTTCAAGTGCCGCCACCCCCACTCCCACCCCCCCCCCCCCCCCAGAGAAAAAATCTGAAAGAAACACTGTTGGGGACCGACAACACACTCAAGGTCCAAGTTTGCTCTCAAATTATTCTTCACGTATTCGATATATATGGTTGAGCCCATGTGTCCTTATTAAATTCGCCATCTTCACCAAAGGGATTCAGTACATCGCTAATGTCCATATATTTAGCACTCAAAGCTTGCATATGAATAATAGAGTGCAGGAACATTGGTTGTAGAATATTTTTCTCATTCGCTTGTCCAACCAAGCCTTTCTTTATGACACTCATGTTCTTTCCTCCGTCAACAGTCGGGTAACTGAGGTTAGTCCAGTCTGTTGTAATAAGCAAATGTTTTCTTTAACTCATTGAATATGTCCTCTCCGGTATCAGTGCCATACACATTATGTAGGGAAGCCAGCTCTTGTGTTATGTTTATGTCTTCATACACACCTCTAATGAACATAAGCAGTTGAGAGGTGGAACAGCTGTCCAGCGACTCATCCATTGCAATTAAAAAATAGTGAAACGTGCTTTCATTTTTCGCTATTTAAGTAACGATGTTTTCACCAATGTCTGCAACACGGTTGGCAAAGGTATTTGCACTACATTTTCAAATTATTTTTAATTTTCTGGACAAAGCTACTCAGCCACCTCCAACAGACATTTTTTTCGTGGACAAAAAGATCTCCGCGGGCCGGATGAGAGGACCTTGCGGGCCGCATTCGGCCCGTGGGCCGTAGTTTGGAGAACCCTGCTCTAAGGATTTAAAATATGCACCAGAATAGGCCCTAATGTATGCTGAAAGTTTTCTGAGCATAGAGTTTCATTTTATTCAGTGTCAGTCTATATTATTCTTTACTTTTCATTTTATTACCTCCTAGTGAAATATTGACAGCTTATTTCAAGTTGACATTCTTTTATTGATATCGAATGATTTTACAAAACAATTGTCATGTAATTGTACACTACATTCTATGTTTTTCTGAAGCTATTTTATAATGTTTCATATGACTTTTAATTCTAGCATCAGGTAATGTAAAAGATGCCTTCACAATAGATTCCAGTGGAATTATAAAAACTCAACAAACATTGGATTATGACACTGGTACACAAACATATACACTTGTAGTTGAAATCAAGGACTCTGGAAATGCTCCCATACAGTAAGATAATATTTCTTAATGGATTTGTACTTTGTGATACTAAGAAGCATTTTACCTGATAGTTTGAATATGGCTGCTATAAATCTCTCTACCATATACCAAATGAATTTAATAGCTTAAAAGGTTTGTATTTAATTAAATGCTTTAAAAATCCTTTTAAAATTTACTTTTCACACTGTTCAATTTTGTTTCAGTGAGCTTGGTCCTTTTAAAGTGATGGATGCTTAAAGGAAATTTATTCAATTTACGTCTCTTTTTTTTCAAACTACAGTCCTATATGAACTTCTCATTTTTTAATTCCTCAGTTCAGTTTCTGCCACAGTGACCATTAAAGTGACAGATGTCAATGACAACCAGCCAACATGTCCAAGCTACTTTAAATATGTGACATTGCTTGAAACATCTCCATCTAACAGCGAGGTATGGTTTTAGTGCGGAGCAAAGGATCCCTCATATATCACATTCAATTGGCTAGATTAGCATCTATGATGAATCATATTATATCTAATATATTGCTTAAATAAAGTAGACATAAAAGCACAAATTATGGTACAAGATATGTTATGTTTGTACAGCAAAGTAATTCAAATTTGTGAATAAATTTTTAAATTTTTTATTTCTTTAATTAAAACAAAAAACTTGTTGTATATAAGAGATATAATTCAAAATGTTTATTTGTTTTCTATTATTTGTTTAGGTGTTGAACATGTCCTGCACTGATGCTGACTCAACAGACACACTCACTTACAGTGTTAGTACACCATTCTATTTCCCTGCTTCACCAAACCAAAACAAAATGGAATTACAATCAGGTAAACAATATTTCAACTCTGTTGACATACGGTTTATTTACATACAGATAATTATATTCAAGGTGCAACAATCTCTCATTTAGTTAGACTAATGTGTTCAAACAAATTTTTCTCTCTCACCATCTGTTGTTTACTGATACAATTTTCTCTCTCTCACTGTCTTCTGATATAATTTCCTACAACTATTGTTGACTGATATAATTTCCCCCCACTTGTTGTCTACTGATAGAATTTCCTCTCTCCCCACCTGTTTACTGATATACTTTTCTCTCCCCATATATATATATAATTTTCTCTCTCTCACTGTCTTCTGATATAATTTCCTACAACTAAGGTTGACTGATATAATTCCCCCCCCCCCCCCCACTTGTTGTCTACTGATAGAATTTCCTCTCTCCCCACCTGTTTACTGATAAAATTTTCTCTCTTCAGTTGTTGACTATGACTCAGGCACTACATCCTATGATGTGGACGTGACAGTCTCTGATGGAACCCACACACAGACGGTCAAAGTCCATGTCCAGCTGCTGCCAGTGAATGAGTTTACCCCAGCTTTCCCTGCAACACCACTATCTGTGTCAGTGGCAGAAGGAACTGTGTCAAACCCAATCACAACTTACACAGCTACAGACAGTGATGCAAGTCCACACAACATTGTGTCCTATAGCATAGTGTCAGGTAAATATAGGATTTAAGGTATCCCTGTATGTCCCATATAAAGAAACCAGATTAAATACTTATGCTAAATTAAACTTTTGTTTCTCTAGTGACCAACTCAGGAACTTCCTTATTTGCTGTTGACTCTGCAACAGGGAAGATAAATCTAAAGTCAGCTCTGGATTATGAATCTTTACCAACTGGTGATAAGCAATATGTGCTGGTTATTGTTGCTACTGATGGTGGAGGTCTGGCGGTATGTTGATGCTCTACATAGGACTAAATGCTTACATTTTTTTACATGTCACAAGTGAAAGAAATAGTAAAACACTAAACTTGTGATATTAAGAAGCCTACAAAAAACATTATTCACTTTGTATTGGCTGTCGTTATGTAAGTTTAAAATCACTGCATGCTGTTTTGTTATTAATTTTACTAGGGTACTGGCACAGTGACAGTGGTAGTGACAGATGCAAATGACAAAGCCCCTGTATGCACACAGTACACCTACTCATTTAATATCAATGAGGGAATAGGTAGGCTTTTATGTTGTTGTTTTTAAACATGTGTTCATGAGTAGAATAGAATAACACAAGTTACAGAAAATCTGTTAGACAATGTTATAAAAGATTAAATTTAAAGTTTTTAAAAACTGTTTTGATATTTTAAAATTAACTAGTATACTTAATATCAATGTGTTAGGTTTTTAATGACTAACTGTTAAAAGAATATATAGTTTTCTCTTGTTTATTCAGCAAGTAAGCAGTGGTAAGTCTCAACTATATAACAACAATTCCTAACTTTATTTGTGTAATTGATATCAAAATGAATAAGCCTCAAATGTTTTGTTTAGCCTCCCAAACACTGATCAACAACTTGGGCTGTACTGATGAAGATACCCAAACTCCAGTCTACACACTCAACCAAGCTCCAAGTACACAATTCTCCCTGGCATCTGGCAAACTAACATTAGACAGTAAGTTCTTTGCTTCATTGGCAAACTGACATTAGACAGTTAGTTATTTGCTTCATTGGCAAACTGACATTAGACAGTAAGTTCTTTGCTTCAATGGCAAACTAACATTAGACGGTAAGTTATTTCCTTCAATCGCAATCTGACATTAGACAGTTAGTTATTTGCTTCAATGGCAAACTGACATTAGACAGTAAGTTATTTACTTCAATGGCAAACTAACATTAGACTGTAAGTTATTTACTTCAATGGAAAACTGACATTAGACAGTTGTTCACTTCACTTAGAAACTACCATTATACAGTATGTCATTCTATTTTTCATGGATAATTACAATATATATATTTAACTCCAAAATTTAATTATTTTAATGTTAGGAAAAGTATCTCTTTAACTGAAGCTGTTTCTATCCATAGCTGCCCTGGACTATGAGAGTGTCACATCCCACACTTTGACCATCACAGTAGAAGATCATGGCACCCCTGTAAAAACTTCAACTGTCTCTGTGTTTATCACTGTTGTCAATATCAATGATGGAGGTCCCACATTTTCAGCTGTATCCACTGTCACAGTTAATGAGACAGTTGCCATTGGGTCTCTTATTATAGGTACTTCCCTGAAACTTTGAGCAATTTTATTACTTTCTTGAAAAAATGATCTTAATCAATGTGTTAGTAAAACATCAAATGTTCCCCAGCTGTCACAGCTACAGACCCTGATGGCACAGATCCCATCTTTGGAGATCCACAGTACAGCATCATTGGTGGGGACACCAACCAGCAATTTACTATTGATGTCAGCAATGGCCGGATCACTACTAGAAAACTTTTGGACTATGAACTCATCCAGTCATACAGTTTGACCATTCAGGTAAGACAGACATTTCACTATTCCCTTCCTATCACGAAACTTTTTTGTACATCTCTCTCTCTCTCTCTCTCTCACACTGTACCTTAATCTAATATTGATTCTATATTATTTCTAAGCTAGTCTTTGCTTTACTACATAGAAACAAACAAAAAAATTATTTAATGCTAATTAGAACAAATGTGCAGTGGGGTTTTATTTGCACAAATTCATAAAATTGAATTTATTATTTTCTAACAGGCCAAAGAAAGAGGGGGAGCTAACTCTGCAACAGTAACTGTATCTGTCCAACTAAATGATATCAACGATGAGAAGCCAACATGCAGCCCCAATCCATTTTTAATAACTGTTATGGAAAACAAGCCAGCAGGTTTTTCAGTCCAGACTTTTGCTTGTTCAGACAGGGATGCCAGTACTATCTTAACATACAGCTTAACAACAGGGGACAGCACTCTTTTTAAAGTGAACTTTTTCACATATTTACTTTGTAGAGATTTATTATATAAAAAAGAAAATATTTAAACAGCTATATACTATTATTAACTTTCTTATACTTAGATGGTGATTTACTTAAATACATAAAACTGTTTAGAAATGTGTGTTCACCACTTTAACTATAGCTGTATAAAACTTTCAGATGAACTCCAACACTTTAGAACTTAAGTCTAAGCTGGACTTTAGTGCAGCACAGAGCTATAACCTAGTCATCACTGCATCTGACTCAGTTGCCTCCCATGATTTACAAATTACTGGAACTATTATTGTAGGCAGTGTTAATGATGGGCCTCCTGTATTTCAAAATGGTTAGCTTTTCTCTCATTAATATCTATTTAACTATTAATTTAAGATTTATTTACTTATGATTGAAGATATGCTTTAGTCAAGCAATACTTCTGATCTGATCTTTTGGGTTAAGTGAAACATGATTAAATTTAGTTACGGTAAGTAACAAATGGGAAAGGATCCATATGTTGTATCAGGGGCTTACATTAAAAACAGTCTAACTAATAACCATTAAAATTATCTTAACTTTCATTTAATTGTTTCATTAATTAATTACTTTCTTTAGTTAACTAATGAGTTTTTTCCACCATCATTAGTTCCCTACCAGGTGAGTACCAGTGAAGCCACCTCTCTGTCAACTGTCATCCTGCAAGTTACAGCAATAGATCCAGACCCTAACACAGATCTCTATGGTCAAGTGAAGTACTCATTCCAACTGACATACCCACAGTTTTTTATTGATCAGGACAATGGAAAGGTAAAGAAATTCTGTGAACTTAATGGCATAACTATGATTAGAGTAGACTGTTTTCCATGTCTTACTCTCACTTAAGTTTCCCTGCATTCCAGGTGTAATGTCTATTGTTTCTTATTAGACTTTGATTCTTACATTCAATTTGTTACTCTCTTGTACTAATTACAATCCTACATGAAATAAAACTTTTTTGATGCTAAAAAACTAAATAACTTATATTCTAAAAACTTTAATCTGTTTCAAAAATTAGTTACTACTTTTGTGCAATTAGGCCCTAGACATGTGGGCTAAAACTAAGTAGCAATTATTGATTGAGTACTTTATTAACTATGTTAGGTATTCATTTTTCCCATAAAATAGATTAAAATTGTAATGAAAACAACAGTTTAATTAGTAAAAACATTTGAAAGTAAATCAGATTACATAAATTGTGACAAAATATCTTTCAGATTTCTGTAGTTGAGCAGCTGGACAGAGAAACCACTGCCCTATACACTCTTGTGGTCATTGCTTCTGATGGTGGCACATCAAGTTCTGGCACATCAACAGTGATTGTTACTGTCACTGACAGTAATGACAACACACCTAAGTTTTCTCAGAGCACGTACAGGTAACTTTGGTATATCATAATACCTGTGTGAAAAGCTAAGATCAGTGAATAGACAAATGGACAAGAGCTCTGAAGCTGTAAAACTTTCCTTAGTTTTTTACTCTGTTTGATTTTTTTCTGTTGATCAATTATAATAAGGTATGGTATGATCCTTATATTTATGTTTGTCCAGCAAAAGAATTAATATAAAAATGGGCAAATTTTTTTTTAATGTTTAGCCCTTATTTCTGTTGAATCTTTCTAACCTGTCCAAAAGTTGTGTACCTGTAAAGCTGTTTGCAATCTATTGTTTTCATTATTTCAAGATGAGCTTATTTTAAAAAATCTAATATATGATATATTTTGATTGGTACCTAAAAATACTTGTATTGATAGTGTATCTCTACCTGAGACCATCACAACTGGAACCACAGTTCAGACAGTGTCAGCAACAGATGCTGATGATCCTGCCACAGATTATGGGAAGTTTTCATTTGCATTATGTATGTTTACATTGATTTATTTTACATACTGCATAGTTCTTTAAGATATTCAATGATTAAATTGTTTAATGGAAGGAAACGGATCTATTAATAAAATAATATTTAATCAACAGATCTGTTAGTAAAGTTTTTAAACAGATGCTGGTGTGTTTAGATATTCTACTTTTCTTCCAATTTTTCACTTTTAGTATGTTTTTTTTTTAGAATAGAAAAATATTTGATTATGTTTTTATAGCTTTGTACAGTATTCAACCAATTCTCTCCCCTAGCTGGCAGTTCAAAGTTTACAATAGACTCAACAACTGGAGTAATTACAAACAATGTGGATCTGACAGCGGACTCTGGGACAACAAAATACACTCTTCTGGTCACAGCTACAGGTAAAGTAGCATACATTATGGGCCTCTTTATCAGTTTTAGGGAGTAGATGGGGATGATAAAGTTTACAGTTTTAAAAATTCATTTTGCAATGTTATATTTGTTTGGTGTTAACTGAGAAAAAAATTGAAATTATCAGATAACAAAGGCTTGGCTGGTGCCCTAACTGGCTCAGCTGTTGTCATAGTTACTGTTACTGCAGTCAACCAGTATGACCCAACCTTTGCTTCATCCACTGTTACACAAGTTGTTAATGAAAACCAGTATGCAATAGGAGATGTCATTGTGTTGGTATGGCTGAGTTTTTTTGTTTGAATTAATTTTACTTAAATCTTTTTAAAATAACTTATTAGCGTGATTATATGTTTCAGGTATTTTTAAAAATTGAAATTCTATAACACCTATAAAAACTATAAGACTACTGTTTTAAGGGCATAAAATTCTTTCATGATTATTTTGTATGTATTCTTGTTAAGTTATTTTTTAAAATTAGTTTCATAACATTTTTAAAATTTCTGCCCTGATATTGTTTCCTCTCCTACAGCTGACAGCAACTGATGCTGATATAGGACAAGATGGGCAAGTAACTCTCACATTTGTAAGTCCCCAAACCAAATTCTACCTGACACAAAATGGCAATGTGGCTGAAGTACGTCTGTCACAAAATTTAGACTTTGACCAAGGGGATACATCATTTGTGTTTTATGTCAAGGCCACAGGTGAAAACAGTGTCAACAATGTGTTGTTTTTTAATTTAATATTTCTAACTGTATCTTAATAAAACATTTTGAATAATCTAACTAGCTACATGTTTTTTTTTTATTATATTTTCAGCTGTAATATTATGATTAGGATACAATTTTAATAATTAACTACATTTTTGGTTTAACTTAAAATTATAGAATGTGATAAGAAACAATGTTGAAAAACAATATAAAAAATGACTAATGAGATAATTATCTGTCTGCAGATTCTGGTAGTCCAGCTAGGTCAGCAACATGTACTGTGACCATCACTGTTAATGATGTGAATGACAATGCCCCACTGTGTACCAGCACAATGGTTGTGCATGTAACAGAAGGACAGACCAACATTGCAACACTCAACTGTCAGGATGATGATGCTGGTACAACTCTTGCTTACCAACACATCAGGTGAGGCCCCGGTTATTTACCAATAAAATGTTTATAATATCCAGATTTCTGATTATTGCTTTTGAATTTTAGCTGTTTGTTAGGATGTCTTCAACTTTAACATTTTCCTAAAAAGTACTGGGTACTTTTACATTTTTTATCTTTATTAATAAATGAATTAAGTCACAACTAGTTTATTAAACTGTTTATAATAGTTATCTCTTAATAATTATAAATGAAATACAGCACCACTCCAAGCACAATATCCCCTACTGTGTCAGCGGGTTTGGTCACAGTGTCAACAGCATTAGATTATGAAACTGGAACACAGTACACAATATTAATAAAGGTAACTTTTTAGCCCTAAACTCATCTATCTTACCCATTTGTGGTCTTCCTTCACTCTTCTGGAAGAATTCCCCCTAGTGTCCACTTCACTCTGATTTAGAATGTAAAGCATTCAACCCTATACCATTGTGCTTAAGTTAAACCTGTTTTGTTTACTCTCTGCACATTTGCTTTGGTCAGTAAAATGTAGTGGACAGTTTTACAATGTAGGTGTTGGTTATTTGACTTACCCACCTTATCAATAGTAAGAGAGTTGCTGCACCACTACTGCCATTTAAATATAAATACTATGTAGACCTTGAACCACTTAGGTCACCACAGTTATAGATGCAATTTAATTGAGGCAAAGGCTCAACAGTCTTTTCTTATTTGTTTAGATCATATGATGATCAAATCTCCAAAATACGAAAGGCTACTAGACAAGATTATTTTTCATCTATAATCTTACTTTTTCACAACCAAGACAAGACTGACTAACTTTTCAATTTTTACACTTACAACCCTATATCACCATGGTTCATGCTCTGTCACAGTCATTCTTTAATTTAAAATTCCCAAAATAATACACTACCTGCACGCTATAACACAGACTGATGTAATCCAGAAATATTTAGATGTCATTGTGGCACCAAGCAAACAGGACAGAATTTGAAAACAATTTAACCCTTTCATTTCATGTTTTACTTAAGGTTAAACATGCACTCATTAATTTAGAAAAAGTAGGTTTAAATTGTTTTTATAAATATTTATTAGGTGTCTGATAATGGAAGTCCAGTAAAGAGTACAACAGTGACCATAATTTTATATGTCACTGACCTGAATGACAATGACCCAACAATAAATGGACCATTCACATTCACTGTGGCTGAAAACCAAGTAGCCAGCAGCAGTGTCTTGTACACTGTTGATGCCAAAAGTAATGATGGACCAACAGATGTACTCACCTACTTGCTCTCAGATACAACTTATTTCCAGGTTTCTTGTAAGTCAACGTGTTAATTAATGCAAATTTTGTACTATTAACTAAATTTGTTTCTTTTAAAATTTTCTTTGAATTCTTAATTTTACCTTGGATCACCATCAATATAGAATATATTTAAACTATATTTGATAAAAGGTTTGTTTAAATGTTGATTTGTACTGTTTAGCTATTGCTATATATAATATTTATGGTAAAATAAAAAATATATATTACATTTCAGTTAATTTAATACATAATTTAATACATATTACAAACACAGCATCTGGTGAAATATCACTGAAGACAAATGCTCCTGATTATGAAACTGTTGGTGCCACTTACAACATGATCATCTATGTCAAAGATTCAGCCAATCCTACTGTACGCACAGCATCTCAGACTCTCACAGTCACCGTAACGGATGTCAATGACATGTGGTATATTTTGGGGTTTTTAAAACTTATAATAGTCCTATAAAAGTAGATTTTATGACAGAAGACAATGTAAGAGAAGTTGTATATTTTTTGGTTTTAAAACTTATAATAGTCCTATAAAAGTAGATTTTATGACAGAAGACATTTTAAGTGAAATCACATAGGTGCATGGGGTGGTGAGGTAGTTTTTTAGAACATAAAATTACTCACTGAAAAGTTTCATATTTTCTTATTGAATTCAAGCCTGTAGAATATGCATCTAGCTATTTATGTCCATTCATATATATATATATATATATATATATATATATATATATATATATATATATATATATGTTTAAATATATATATTTTATATATTTTTTTATAAATATAGTATATATATATGTAATATTTATGCTATATTTATATATATTATATAAAATATATTTATTTTATGTATTTATATTTATCTTATATATATTTATAAATATAATATTTATTTATTTTATATATACATATATAAAATAAAAACAGTATGTATATATATATATATGTATATATATATGTATATATATATATATATATATATATATATATATATATATATATATATATATATATATATATATATATATATATATATATATATATGTATGAATTTTTCTCATCAGTTCAGGATAATTTCCTTAAACATTTCTATCACAGGCCAGTTTTCAACCCAAGGACTTATTCAGCCTCACCGGCGGAGAGTGTCTCAACAGGAACAGCAGTGACACCTGTAACTGCTACAGATGGAGACACCACTGCAGCATACCACACCATAACATACACAATCACCAGTGGTAACACAGGTGCTGTATGGAGGTAATTTGACCATTTTATACTTGGTTTTCTAATTATTGCATTTATTTTTTTAAGGGCCTCATAATATTTTAATCTTGAAATCAGTCTTTTTAAAAAAAATTTAAACATCTTAATCAGACATCATATATATAATAAGCAAATATCACCTGTATTTGTAGTAATCTTAATTTGTATTTAACCTTAATGTTTAAGCTTCCAATATGAGTAAAGCCACTAGTGAATCCAACGTCTCTTTTTGTAAATTGTTCACCATTATTCCTCCTCAACTTTTGTCTCTGTTTCAATGAACAAGCAAAATAATTAAACTAATATTTAGAGAACTTTACTTTAAAAAATAGATTCATCAATGAATATTTATATAATCATGATTGTTCAAATATGCATTATTGTGTTTTTCCAATACACAAATTATACTTATTACACAATTTATACAGTTATATAGCTATGAGGTGACAAGATGTTCATCCACATTAGGGATTGTAATTGTATGTTGAAACCACCATTTTAAAATAGTTTATAAAATAAAACAGTTTTTTTTTTAAATTTTACTCCAGTACTTTGCCAAGTCAAATAATTTGTATTTTTTTTTTTAGTTCTCTAAGTTGTCTTAAAAATATAGTGAATATCTTGTTGGATTCCATTGAAAAAGTCTGTGATAGAATCATATATTTTAGAACAGAGCCAATACAATGTGACATATACATTTTGAAGATAAAGCAGATGAAACTAAAGATGTAAAAATTATCTAATTTATTTTTTTCCTAATCTGAAACCAGCATTGACAACACAGGAGCTGTAAAAACTACAGCAGCCTTGGATTATGAAACTGTGACCTCATACAACCTGGTAATCCAAGCTAGTGATGGGTCACATTCTGTCACAGCCAACTATGTTATCAGTGTCACACCTGTTAATGAATATGATCCAGTTTTTTCACCTGCCTCAGATACAAAGTCAATCAATGAAAATGTGGACTTAGGAACCACTCTTGCTACAGTCAGTATTTGTTTAACTTTTTAAAATTGTAATTGTTTGAAAGGTACTTTAAAGACTAGCACTTTTCATTACAAATAGTTATATGTCAATCTTTGTAAGGAGTATGTTTTTAATTGACCATAACTTTATGTCAGCTAAAACAGCAAGTATTAAATATATCCAGGTCTCAGCTACAGACAGTGATAAAGGGAATGATGGTGTTGTTGTTTACAGCATAGATACAGGTTTGTTTTTGTTTTTTTGTATGTTCAGTTTTTAATAGGGGTGGGACATGTTTAATAACTACCCATAAGTCATGATTTATATTGTGAAGTACAAAATGTTAATTTACTTGAACTAAAAAAATATTTTCAGGACCCTTTACCATTGATTCCTCCACTGGTGTTATTACTGTGTCTGGTGACTTAAACAGAGAACTACATACTTCATACACTCTCACTGTACAGGCTGTAGACAAGGGGACACCATCCAAATCTGGCTCACTCATTCTTACAGGTTTCTTTCCCTTTAGCCACAATTTTTGTTTGTTTATGTTTTACAAATTAATTTGATACTTTAATTCTTTTGAATTTGTTTTGATTTTAAAAGGTTTTTATGCTTACTGTTATATACTAACCATTGTAAGTAACTTTTTTAAACTAAACTTTCAGTCAATATAAATGATGTGAATGACAATAAACCATACTGCTCTGCCAGTTTGTACTCTACTTCTATCCTGGAATCTTCCACTTCTGGAACATCTGTGGCCACCTTGGTTTGTCATGATGATGATCTTGATCCAGCTAACCTAAACAATGCTTTAACTTACACAATTAGTAAGTGGTCACAGTTCATATTCAAGGAAAAATAGAAAAATATGTTGTTTTTTTTTACAGTAAAACAAAAATAAAAGAGGTGTTTTAGCTAAAACTAATTATGTTTTTAGTTTACACACTATGAAATAAAACAATGTAATACTTTATGAACTAATTTTTTTTAATTTTGATCCCAGTATCAGGCTCAAGCTTGTTTGTTGTGGATTCTGCTGGAGCCATCACAGTAAAATCAGGAGCCACATTTGACAGAGAAACATCAGCATCAGAAACAATAATTGTTCATGTCATTGACAAGTCTACTTTGTCTAAACTCACTTTCACTGCCACGGTGCTTGTCACTATTTTAGGTAAATACTGGAATAATTTCAGACTGTAGTTATCTCATTTGTTAAATATTATGGTAAAATGCAATTTGAATTCTTAACTCTTGAATATCCTCAGATGTTAATGACAATGCTCCAACATTTACATCTTTGACAAGTGCAAGTGTGCCAGAAAACTCAGCTATTGGAACAACTGTACAAACTGTTGTGGCTACAGACCAAGATAGTGGTGTTAATAGTAAATTAACTTTTTTCTTATTTCTATTCAGTCAAATTACATTTTGGATATAATCAAATAAAATATAGTTTTCACTGTGTAAACCTTCATTATTATATAATAAATATAAGTTTACTGTAATAACAAATATTCATGAAATAAAATTACAAAACAAGTTATCATATCTACATCATGGAACACCACATTGTTAAGAGTTTTTAAAACCCTAAATTTGTTCTGAATGGCTAACAGTGTTTGTTTATCTAGAGGAACTGGTGTATGATATAACAAGTGGCAACACAGGCAACAAGTTTTACATTGACCCAGTAAATGGCTATGTTGTTCTTCAGGACAAGCTGGACTATGAGACAACTAACTTGTATACTCTTGTCATCACTGTTAAAGTAGGACATTTTTATTACATTTTTTTAGATACTTGATTCCAGGTAGGTTTAATCATATATTGTAAAACTGGCTTTTAATTTCTCTTACACCACATTAACACTTGCATCATATATTCTATATATGCCTAGAAAAAAACTTGCAGCAAGTAAGTATACAAATTCTGTGACATAACTTGTTGCAAATTTCTTTTTCTAGATGTGTATATAATACATGTCACACCTGTAAATGTGGTGTTACATTATATACATTTAAATAAATTGACAAAGTCATTAAAAAGTACACAAGACATATGGAAACCTACTTTTCATAAACATTAGGATAAAGGTACCCCATCACTAAGTGTGACTGGCACACTGACAGTGTCAGTGACAGATGTCAATGACAAGCCTCCAGTGTGTGCATCATCCCTGTACACATCTACCATAGCAGAAAATTCTATCAGCACATCAGTGACTACAGTCTCATGCACAGACACAGAAACCGTTGGAACTGTTTCCTACAGCATTACATCAGGTACTGGATCAATTATTTTTGCTGCCATAACATACTGACCCGCTGAATTTTTCCTTTGTTTCTCTACTGTTGTACAAACTCTGTGATTAATTTATTTACCAGGTGATACCAACAGCTACTTTACAATAGATACAGCAGGGGTTGTCTCAACATCAGCTAGTGCTAACATTGATTATGAAACAACTAGGTCTTATGTTCTGGTCATCACTGCATCAGATGGCATTCAGTCAGCAATTACTAGAGTTCAGGTGAGAAATTGTTCTTTAGATATTACCACTGTACCTTATTTGCTTGACTTTTGTTCCTGCCTTTATAATAAAAAAAAAGTAAATCTGCCACTATACCAGTTACTTAATTTTCATTATTCAACCTGGATTGTAGAAAAAATGCATCACAAACTGGAAAAAAAACAGTAATTAATAGGCTAAGCACTTTACAGAGTGATCCGCTATTCAAGAATTTTTTAAAACAAAATTTATAGTTTTTTTGTTCTTTTAGATTACAGAATGCCTGATTGTTAGTTATAAAACTTAAACTATGATAGATGTTTAAGATACTAATATTATAGTCTGTTGCCTAGGAATTTTTGTGCACTTGTTACAACCATGTACCATGTAATATTTCAACTATAAAAACCATGTCTGGTAACAATTTTTTCCAAATATCTGTTAATGTCCCACCCCCAGGTTACAGTTACAGATGTAAATGAAGCTGACCCACAGTTTAGTCCAGCTGGTCCATACACTGTGACAATGTCTGAATCCTCATCAATAGGAGACTCTGTTAAAACTCTTGCTACCACTGATGCTGATACTTATGACTCTATCAGAGTTTTTTCCATCACTGCAGGAAATTCTGCTGCCAAATTTATGATAGATGCATCTTCTGGATTGATAAAGGTTTGATAGACCCCTAATAACAAATACACATTCAGATTTTTTTCACAGCCAAAGAAAGGAATTAATTAATTAAAATTTTCAAGCAAAATATAATTAACAGAGAAAAAAAGGCATGCCAATTATTGTGCATTACATTTCGTTACCGTGCAATAAATGTTTTTATTTTCAAAAAGCAGCATCAAACATAATAGTGAAAAAGTGAGATAGACAGGTCAGGCGTTTTTAAGCGTATGGGACTATCACACAAGAAAAAATGCAGGCATGTTTTGCCATAATGGACTGTAAAGGGTTACGATTTTGATGAAGTCTAAAGCTCATAAAAAAAAGTAACCAGTTTTTTATTCTTGTCTTCAGCTACAAGGATTATTGGATCATGAAACTACAAGCTCTTATTCTCTAACTCTTAAAGTTGAAGATTCAGGAGGGAGATCATCCACTACAACATTAACTGTTAGTGTTGGTGATGTAAATGACAACAGTCCTGTGTGCAGTGACCAAACAGCAGCTGTCAGTGTAAATGAGGGAGTTAGCTCAGGAATATTGTACACACCAACCTGTTCTGATCTTGTAAGTTAATAAATTAATATTTGTCAGTGTAAATGAGGGAGCTAGCTCAGGAATATTGTACACACCAACCTGTTCTGATCTTGTAAGTTAATGAATTAATGTTTGTCAGTGTAAATGAGGGAGCTAGCTCAGGAATATTGTACACACCAACCTGTTCTGATCTTGTAAGTTAATAAATTAATATTTGTCAGTGTAAATGAGGGAGTTAGCTCAGGAATATTGTACACACCAACCTGTTCTGATCTTGTAAGTTAATAAATTACTGTATAGTTGTTTTATACTTGTGTGTAGGTCCATATGGGATGTATGAGTAAACCTAGAATTACCAGAAAACTTTTTTTAATCTACCAGGACACAGTGGCCACTCCTACTCTTCTCTACTCCATGTCTACCAGTGATTCATCAATATCAATAGATACTAGCACAGGTATTTTCTTGTAGATTACTTACTGGTTACTTTCTTATTCTACCTAAACAAAATATATTAACCTAACATATACACACAGTTGTTTTCAATACCAGCATTGATCATCACTTTATTCCTCAGGAAAACTATCACTCAGTTCAGCTATGGACTATGAAACTCAAACAGTTCATGACATTGTGATCATTGTCAGTGACCAAGGGTCACCAGCAAAGACAACAACAATCAGTGTAAGAGTAAATGTCCAGCCTGTGAATGAATTTCCACCAGTGTTCACCTCCTCAGCCACCTATGGACCCTACAGTATTGCTGAGGACACAGCTCTTGGTAAACAACTAAGCAAGTAAACAATATGGAATAAAAGCTTATGGAACAAAACATGTCTAATATGAGATTAATTCAATTTGCTTTCATAGGTACATCAATAGGCAAAGTCTCAGCCACTGATTCAGACATGGGCTTGAAACAAGGGACAGTCATATACAGCATTGTTGCTGGAGACACACAACAACAATTTGCTGTTGATGAGTCCACTGGTGTTATCGAGGTGGTCAGTTCACTGGACAGAGAGGCTAAAGCTACATATACCCTCACTCTAAGGGCAAAAGATGATGAATCGGGTTCAGGAAATGAAAAAAGTGGTAAGTATATATTATGCTATTGTCTGTCAAATGGAGTATTTAAACAGTGTAGGCCCAATTGTCTGTCTAATCGTCATTTTAATCTGAATAATTCAACTTTTCCATATATTGAGATTTTGCCTCAAAACATCATTTTTATAAATTCCTTTATATGAATTTACTACTACTTAACCTTACACAATTAATGAGAAAAATTAAATTTTTCAAGCGCTTTATCATTGATGGGATCCATTAGACAATTAATTATTTGACATTTCAATGTATTATTGTTATGGATCCTTTTGGCTTGTGAGACAATGGGTGTGTGCCCAGAGATTATGATGTTATCATTGTCTTTTGGAGCTGGCTCTGATGTAACTGATCATGCCAAATCTGAATATTTTCCTTTTTGTCCCCTCAGTGGCAACTTCTGCCCTTTTTCCTTTAGCGATGAGGATGCCAGTCCACATAGTATGCCTCCACAATGCTATTTCTTGTTCTGCTCCCACATGTGTTTAATTTTGTCAGCTTGCCCTAGGTTCTGTTTGCAGGCACCTCTGTTATTCAGTAGGGGTCGTCCCCTGGGTCTTGTACCATTGGTAATTCCCAACGGAGGATGTGTTTTGGGATTTGGCTATCAGCCATATGACAGATTTGACCCAGCCAACACAGTCTTCTCTGGGTTATCATTTCTTGAGCACTAAGGGGGTTGGCTTGTATCAAGATGTCTTGATTGGAGAATCAGTTTTCCCATGTGAAAACCATGGTGTATCATCGGTAGCACAAATAAAACTATTTCATGGTGCTTAAAATCTGCTTGTTGATTTTTATCTAAGCTCTAAGCACCTATTAGAGTAGTCAGCACCTTACTTTCTGGAGGTTACCCAGATTGAGAATGGATAGTAGCTGATCAGTGAAGTGAAAGTTCTCTCCCTGAGATGTAATCTCTGGTCTCTTACTTTAAGCCAATCAATTTGGACTTAAAACCCATGACTGTTGCCTCCCATGTTGTTTTAGTTTCTTGAAGCAGCACCAGATATTTCTCTTCGCGTATCAAATGAAGAGGTCATGGGTAGCCGATTTGTCATGATTTGTATCTTGACCTTGCCAGTATAGTCCAATGGAATGAAAAACAATACATTTGGTACCAATTCAGTTTGTAAGCTTTTAGCAGAGTTGTGATAATTGGACAATCAAGTGTCTTTTGTGTTTATCACTACCACACTAGTGAATGTGTTATACAGATATCCAATGGTGTTCAATTATTGTCTCTTGACTATGCATCATTCTTTATATTTAGGACAGTATTAGCTGATAGACTTTGTATCATCAGAACATGCAGTTGTAATGTAGATTGCCTATTCCTCTCCTGTTTAGGAATATTACTGTCTATATTTTCAAATGTATTATAATTCAGCTTGTGGGTGTTATTCATCATTTTTTTTAAATTCCTCAGCTGATGCTACAGTGTATTTAACAATAACAGATGTGAATGACAACAGCCCCTTGTTTAACCCATCTGTGTACACAATAAATGTTTTAGAGTCAGCTCCCTTTAGTCCAGCAGCTGTATTGAAAACTTTAACAGTTCATGATGATGATGCAGGAACAAATGCTGCCACAACTATAACAATAATCTCAGGCAACAGTGAAAACAAGTTTTCCATTTCTGGTTGGTGCATTTTTTTATTAAATGATGTAAAGCTAATAATGTTATATTTTTGATTGATATCATGAAAATATCTTTAGTGCTTGCTACCATAACTAACATCTCTCTGACAGTAAAAAACACTTTATCATTATTACAGGCAATGATGTAACATTAGTTGACCAGCTGGACTATGAAACAACAACTTCCTATGAACTGATTGTTCAAGTGGCTGATGGTGGAAGCCCTTCTCTTAAATCTACTGGACGTGTCTTGATTAATGTTCTGCCAGCTAATGACCAGGCACCTCTAATGACCACAGCAGATGCAGTAAAAAATATCCCAGAAGACACTTCAGTTGGGACATTAGTCTTTAAAGCTGTTGCAACTGGTAGATACAATACAATTTCTTTGTTTCTTATTTGTGATCTATTTTAAATAAATTTAGGTTAAAGGAATCTTGTAATGAGAAAAAGATACAAAATCTTGTTCAGGGTGAAGCTGTTAGGAATTCATTAGTTTAATTTATTTAAAATACTCATTTTAAATTTTGGCAAACCTTTTTAAAATGTTTGTTCTCTTTAAAACTCACCAGATCTAGATGCAGGTGTGGATGGTATAATCACTTACAGTATAGCAAGTGGTGTGACTAACAATGAGTTTGTTATTGATGCCAGCTCTGGCGAGGTCTTTGTTGGATCCCAGCTGGACTATGACACAACACCCAACACCTATGCAATGGTCATCAGAGCTACAGATGGTGCTGGGGCATCTGCTGCTACATCCACTGTGTCACTGAGCATTGTGCTGACAGACATCAATGACCATGTCCCACAGTTTAGTCTGACCATGTTTATTTTCAGCATCAAGGAAAATGTTGCCTCTGGCACATCTGTTGGAAAAGTTGTTGCCACAGACAAAGGTAATAATTAGTTTGGCAGTTCAAATGTTATTTTAATTATTATGCTAATTTAAATAATATAGTAAGATTACTTTTTTTACTAACTTTTTTTCTATGGTATATGTTTTGTTTGATCAGATTCTGGAGTAAATGGGGCCATCAGTTTTACCAAACTTGGAGGCAGTGGCCTGACTTACTTCAACATTGACAGCTCTACTGGAGTGGTCTCTACTGCTGCTACCATAGACTATGAAGCTTTTAAGGTATGTTGGCCTCAAAATTAGTCAATAGCCCCATTAAATATTTTTTTAAATAATGTCAGTGTTATTAAAATAAATATGTTATAAAAACATGTTTAGTTTTTGTCTGATTTACTGAAGATTTATTGTATTTAACAATTTTAGTATTTTCAGTAACTAAACAAGAATTTTTAAATTAAAAACTTTGCATGTCATTGTTTTGGGTATAAAGTGGGATTTTCAGAAGAGTACCATATCAAAGATTTTCTGTACAGCCATTAAATATTTGTAATACAAAAGCAAAACTTGAGTTTATAATTTATACTACATGAAAATAAAAAGAAATGTTGCATGGAACAGAAAAAAAATATTGCAAATTTATTTCATTGATTTATAAATATTAAATTTTTAAAAATTTCTAGCTTCAATTTTTTATGGCCGCTATGAAGGAAAATGGACAAAAACATGACTTTTTTCCATGTCAACCATAATGATGGAAGGATTTTTGTTAACTCATTGATATCCACCGGATGTTTAATTAATTTTTTAAAGAACTAATTCAAATTCTTCAATATTAAGTACTAATTTTCGGCAATATTTTATGCACATTATTTGTGTTCAGTTGGTCAGCAATCCTTAATAGTAGTAGGCCTATTAAACATTTAACTAGGGAAAAATATAGTAATTAATTAAAAATGTATTATTAACAAGTTTTTATATAACTAAAAAGTAGAAAATAAATAATTTTTGTTTAATGTAAAAAAAAAAAAATGAACCACTATTTCAATAACAAAAATGAAAGTCTGGATATATATTGAATATCTTTATTAAATACTAAAATGTTATGAGTGGCCAACACTTTTCTTTTCAGTTACTTAAATAGTGGTTCATTATTATATATTTAAAGAATTTCATTTATTTTCTACCTTTTAGTGCATAATAATGTAATAACTTGTTAATAAAATTAAAGTTGTTTTTTTATTTCTTAATAAAGACAAAGTATTTGTATCTGCTATCATATTTAGAGTGACAAAATCACCTGTCTATTTTAGGTATTTTTCCTGAGTGTGACAGCAACTGATGGTGGGAGTCCATCTTTTACATCCACTGGTCTAGTGAAAATCTTGGTGGAAAACATGAATGACAATAAACCAAGCATTGTGCCAGCAGACTTTGCTGTTATCTTGTCAGAAAACAGTTTAGTTGGAGCCAGTGTACTGTCTTATTATGCTAGTGACATTGACACTGCCATTGGCAGCTTTAGTCTAGCAACAGCCAATTCTTACTTTCAGGTAGAATTTCTTTTTTATAAACCTTTCTCTTGCACCACTCTAAAACAGTTTTATTAAATAATTTTTGTCAAATAATTTCAGGTGAATTCAGCCAATGGAGATGTAACAACTAAGGCAACACTAGACAGAGAAACATTATCAAGGTTGGTTCAGTAACTAATAGCTTTACTGTTTAAGCATCAAAATACAAATATATAATTTAAAAATGTTTCACTAAGATAAATAGTGTAAGAAAGTCAGAAACTTTAAAATGAATAACATAAACCCAACATGGCATGAGACTTTATCACTAACAATTATTCTTTTTTTTTATAACTAACATAATCTTATTTCCAGCCATGTGATTTACATCCAAGTCATTGACCAAAGTACTTCAAGTGATCCCATTATTCAAACGTCTACAGCTACCCTGACTATTATAGTTGATGACATAAATGATAACCCCCCTGTCATCACTGGCACTTATTCTGTCTCTGTCCTTGAAAACTCTGTCATCAACACCTTGGTGCTGACCGTCACTGCCACTGACCTAGATGCTAATCAAAATGGACAATTGACCTACTCCATCACAGCAGGCAATACAGGCTCAGCTTTTAAAATTGATTCTACTGGAAGAGTTCAGGTGAGTCACTATAGAATATAGGTGAGAGTTTTAACCTTGCTTGAGTCATTGTAGATTATAGGTGAGTTATTTGACCTCAGGCAGAGGCGTAATGAGGGCGGGGAGTGCAGACCGCACCATTGGGGGGGGGGGGGGGCACCAAGGCAAAAATAGCAAAATATATAGAGAAAAGTGAGTGTTTTAAGAGGTGCAAATCGAAAGTTTGAGGGGGGGGGAGTGGAAATCAAAAGTTTGACAGTGGGGGGGGGTGCAATTCGAAAATTGAAAGTTTGTCCCCGGGAAGTGTTGCTACGGCTCTGGGGGTGACACCATTAATTGCCGCACCGGGTGACACCTGATCTCGCTACGCCACTGACCTCAGGTGAGTCCGTTTAGAATAATGGCATATTCATGGGGGTGCAGAAAGAGCAGTCGCTCCCCCTGCAAGCATTTTTAGAAGAGCTGCACCCTTTTTCAGAAAATAATTTATGGTTCAGACAGGAGTCATATAAGCATGTGTAATTGATTGGCTAATGACAAAAACTACATAAAAAGTGAGAGGCATCAGATGAACACTAACAACTATCCTAGAGGACCCAATTTTTGCAACTGACATAACTCTCAGTTCTCAAAAAATCTGCAAGAAATATTTAAAAGATTTATTTTTTATACAAATGGAGTTGGACTGAAACTATACATTAACCAAACCAAAGTTATGCAGCAAAATACATCTAGTCAAGGACCTATTAAAATAAACAACACACGAGTAGCGGAAGTAAAAGATTTCACATATCTAGGCAGTATAGTCAATTATGAAGGAGACTGCACAGCTGAAATTAAAACACGCATCTCTAAAGCCAAACAAGGCATTGCAAAAAACATGGCGATTGAAGAAAGACCTGCAAGACCTAATTCACACTTTTCAATAGTAATGTCCTTAGCCTCCTTCTGTATGGCAGCAAATGCTGGAAAGTAACAACTGCTACCAGAAGATCACTGGACTATTTCCAAACTAAGTACTTGCAAAGGATAAAAGGTGTGCACTGGCCCAACACTATCTCCAACACTACTAGGAAATGAAAGCAGTTTCCGAAATAATAAAAAAAAAGAAGATGGCACTGGATGGGGCACAACCTAAGAATAAATTCAGTTTTTACTTTTATTGCTTTTATTAAATGCGTATTTTTCTTTTCTCAGGTAGCAGCTGCTTTAGACAGAGAAACCACAGCAACTTACACAATAACAATTCGTGTCAGTGACAAGGGGACACCATCTCTGTCTGATCAAATAGATGCTGTCATTACAATAACAGATGTGAATGATAATGACCCAGTATTCTCCCTTGCTGCTTACACTTTTAATGTGAATGAAAACTCCAACACAGGCACAGCAGTTGGAACAGTCACAGCAACAGATGCTGACTCAGGTGTTAATGGAGCCTTGACCTACAGTTTTGACACCTTCACACTGGGAACATCTTCTCATTTTGCCATCAGTGGCTCTACAGGAGCCATAACTGTGACCACAGCTGCTTTAGATAGGGAAACAATGTCTACTTATAGCATTTCGGTCAAGGTAAAAGATAATTTCATTTCAAAATATGTTTATTTCAAAAATTCACGTCATTGTAGTTGACTATTTAAAGCTAAGCTTTCCTTATCCAAAATCCATTCTGTTTTTATTGAAGCTATTTTTAAATTACTCTTACTAAATTTATATACTAATATTGTTTTAATGTGTTATTTTTATATGATATTCTCAAAAATTGTGGACCCCATGCTACATGATTTTTTCCAAAACTTTTATATTCAAAATATTCTTTTTATATTTGACCGTTTGTAAATCCCCATCCTATGAGTCAATTAATTTTTCTTTGCTCTCCTAGTTTGATTTTCTAACTCATTTGGACATTGCTTTAAAAAAAATTAAATTCTATATAGCTTGTATAAAGCATTTAGATAAATACTATTTCACTAAAGTAAGTTAAAAAAAAGTGTCAGTTGCAGTGAATGGTGTAGTATCAGTCTGAGTAACTTCTCTGGCAAATTTTCATCTAGCCTAAATATAAAAATCACTACTTCAAGTATACCTTGTACATTTATGTACAAATACTGCATGCTGTTTTTGCAGGTGGTAGATTCAGGGACACCACTGTCCAGAACATCCTACACTGTTGTTACTGTCTACATTGATGACCTGAATGATAATGCCCCCATCTTCACCAAGACATCTTACAGTGGTAGTGTTAATGAGAACAGTGCCACATCAACTTCTATACTCAAGGTGTCAGCCACTGATGCTGATATCAACACCAATGCTGCCATCACTTACAGCATCAATACAGTTCTGTTGGATGGGGCTAATGCTAACACTTATCTTCAGGTTGGTCAAACTACACAATTTATTGCTTCTGTTAATATGGTTAAAATTATAAATCAGACCTTTGGGTCTCCACCACATTTAACAACTTTGTTTTTGTTCTCAGATTTCTTCATCAACTGGTGTGATCACACCAAAAACTTCCATTGACTATGAGACTATACAAAAAATAACATGTGTCGTGGTAGCAACAGATGGTGGGACCCCATCTTTAACTGGGACAACAACTGTAACAATAACAATATTAGACACCAATGATAATAGCCCTGTCTTTAGGTCAGTAAAATTATTTTATTTTTTTATCTTTTACTTTTACTTAACATCATTAGCCAACACAAGAGTGGAACATCATTTAAATATCACAGTGACTGATGTTTATTTCTTCTCCAGTCCAACATTTTACAACACTGAAGTAGCCTATAGTGGTGACTGTGAGAGCACCATCACAACAGTAACAGCCACAGATGCTGACTCTGGCAATAATGGCTTGATCTCTTACTCCCTACAGACCTCACTTTACAACTATTTGTTTACTGTAAACTCAAGCACAGGTAGTAAACATTTCAGTCATTGTTAACAATATTTTAAAAAATACTATTCAATCTAATTAAACTATTTTTCTACAGGGTTTACAAAAAGTCTAGAAAAAGTCTGGAATTTAGAAATGTGAATTTCAGACTTTAAAAAGTCTGGAAAATCTCTAGTTTTTGGGCTGGGTTTTTTTTTAACTGCAAAAAGTCTGGATTCAGGTTTTTGAAACAAAACTTTTCCTCAAAGTCCTCCATATTTTCCGACATAAAAAAGGACTATTTTTTAGTTAATTTACTCCTTCCCCCCCCCTCCCCCACCCATGTGACCCTTGCTCAGGGCTACACAAATCACAATGTTATGATACTTTCCACTCAGTTAGTACATCATTGGGAGAGGAGGGGATTGTTATACCACAGGCTTTTTTGTCAGCTGTGAACGTGTAACTGATATTTAAAATTGCTATTTAATAAAAGAAGGATCTCACCTGAAAATGTCGACCTCTTGATTTTACCCTTTATTTTCATTATGTTTGTCTGAGTTTGCAGACAAGCAGTCATAACAAAAATTATGTGGAAGGCGTGTGAGTCGTAGTCTAGGTATAATTTATATACTCTACAATTTTCCTAATGCTTTCCATTTAATTTTGAAACCTCAAATTAATTTGTAACAACAGTCTCTGACATCTACTTGTGTGAACTCACTGTGACCCTAAGTATGTGTTTGATACTTCTTAGCTTGAGGAAAAATTGAAGAACCCTATTATTTCCAAAACACTATTTACTGGATCTAGGTTGAATAAGCCTAGAATATTCACATGAGCAGGCCTAAATTAGTAAACTACTTTATTATTATTCTTTTTAAAGTAATTAACTCTCACTTTTAGGCTCAATTCATAGGACTACTATTTTAGTAATCATTTAATATATATCATTAGTTTAATGTTGGAAACAAAAATAGTTTCATGCTAATCAATTATTTTTAATAACTGTGTGTGTAGGGGGGGGGGAGAAATAAGCAGCATAAGAAAAGTTATTTTCTGGCATTTGGCTGGTGAAAGTTAATTATAAACATTAGCTAAATAGCCTAAAATAAATGTAATTATAAGGAGAGTAGAGATCTTGCAGCATCATATAAAAAATCATCATTATCTAAAAGTCTGGATTTTTTCCAAATTTTCTGGGGAAAATCTGGAATTTCATTTTCAGAAAGCTGTACAAATCCTGTGTCAAATCAGTTATGAGGCCAAGAATATAAACAAATTAAAATAACATAGATGTTTATATGTCCTCTTTGAATTTTCAGGTAAAGTGAGTCTGTCCAGTATAGCTGAGGCAGACACCACTTACTCACTGGACATTCAGGCCAGTGATGCAGGAAATCCTATCAAAACAGCTACATCACCTGCTAAAGTTAGGGTAGATTCTTATGTGCCAAATAACCATGTTGTTACTTTTAGGCTCAAGATAAGCAGGTAAATATTTTCATCTACAGCTGGTTTCAAAAATGTTAATATGCTATTGTCAAAGTTCTCAAGGATAAAAATAAGTATTTGTGTTAAAACCTAGCCATCTTTATACAGAGAAAGCTTCTTGGCTCAACTGAGCACATTTCTGACCAACCTTCAGACTGTGGTCAGAAACACCTATCCCACTGCCCTGGTGCGACTGACGTGTGTACAAGAATATGATGGTGTGGCACAGCTTCCTCCCAGTGGAAGACGAAGGCTTTTGGCAACTCAGTAATTTTAAAGTTTTTAGATAAATGAAAATCGGCTCATTTCATTACACTTTAATGTTTATGAATTTAACTATCAATTCATATCTTAGGTTTAAAAAAATGTATGTCTCTGTGTTGCAGTTGACTTTCATTTGATTTGACTACCTTTCAATAGGCCTGTAGATGCCTTCTTGTATGTGGTCAAAGATGATACTACCAACAACTTGAGCAACATCAACACAGAAAAACAATTTCTCACCCAAGATGAATTTTTATCTCTGGTGGCTGCAAACCCTGAGGGGGACCCTGGCACTAGTATACAAGGTTCAGATGATTTAATTATGTTGTAAACTGGTAAACTAATTCATAAACAAAAAATCCATTGCATTTAGCATAGAACAAGACTTCCATGCAACTGCTTTTCATTATAAACGTATTTTTTAAAAGCATGTCTTCTTCTTTGTGCTACTAATAATGTTTTCACAATAAATATCCAATCTGACAAGAAATTATCACTTCTTTAATTATTTTTTTTTAAATGAGATTTCATGATTTCCAGTTTGTGTATGCATGGTAAATAGCATCTGACCTCAAGAATTATTAACTCTTTGGAATGTTTAGGTACTGCATGGAATAATTACAGAATAGAAAGTGTAAATCCTTACTACCAGGCCTCAGCGAGTTGGTGGGACACAGACTATGGAAAGATAATTACAGCAATTGCTTGTCTACTTGGATTGTGTTTGCTTGGTCTCCTAATTTACTTCATTGCACGTTGCTGTTGCTATGGGAGATTTAGGTAATAGCTGAGGGTTTAAATTTTAAAAATATTGCCTATACTGTATGTTTTAGTTTGTTAGGTAAATGTAGCTTTGTCACTTCTGCCATACTTTTTAAGTTATTTAACTGAACTTAAGTTGTTGTTGTCCGTTTACCATAGGTGGTAGACCTATAATGTGTTTGCTATTTTCATTTACCTTATACAATAGCTATTATTTATGAATTCTTATCACACAAAACTTAGTTCTGTCCCGTTTTACCAACTCAGTTACTCTAATAGCAGATTTTTTTTTTAAAACAGCTTTAGTTAAATAAATCTTCAAATAATTGATTGCAGACCAGCAAAGAAGAACAATAGAAAGCATCGGATCATGGAAATTGAACCTGTCAAAGAACCTCCAAAACGGCCATTTGAAGCCTTTGGTTTTGAATCTAAAAGAGGTATGCTACAAATATAATTCTTTCCAGGGAACTGCACTTGTTTTCAACTGCTTATTTGGATTCTCATTTCATCCCAAGTATTTTAATTATGTAAAGAATTGTGAACAGTTTATATTTATAACCATCAGAATTAAACCAAACATAAAGTGTGAAATTAACTAATTTTCTTACATTTACTTTATTGTGCGCTTGTAATTTGTAAATCATCTGTCAAAAAAAAACTTTTTTCTTGTAGCTCCTGATGACTTTGGTGGTCAGCCTTACAGAGCTGCTTTCCCACCCATGTTGATTTCAGACCCTGCGCCTGCAGATGTAAGTTATTTTTTCAGGACTCATGGTTTATTGAATTTTAATCTTTAAAATTCAAGCTCTTTCAAAAGCATCAGTTTATATTTTTTTATTTATTTTTTATTTTACTTTCTTGAAAACGAAGTAGAGAGTAAGTTAAAAAATCGACATTTTACACATCACTGAGTCATTTTGTATGTGAATGGATGTGTGTCTGTGAACATGATAACTTGAGTACTGTTACAACTAGAATGATGAAATTTCATATATAAGTATTATATTTAATTTATAGTTCTGTATCAACTTTTCAGCAATTTCCGGTAACCAGAAGTGGAACTTATTCTACTTTTTGATTTTTTAAAAGCCTATAACTTGATTACTGTTTCAGATATATAGACGAAATTTCAATTATAAATAACATATCTAATTTTCTGCCTTCTATAAAATTTTGAGCAACTTCCGTTGAACAGAAGTAGTACTTTATGCTTTTCAGATTTCTAAAAATAAGTACATATGCATTTATAAAGTACTTATATACTGCACTATTATATACACACATTGTTTGCTGTTCACTTGGTGCACTTTTTTTTTCTCTAAGATTATATTCTATTTTTAAAAGTTTAAGTAATTAAAAATTGATTAAAAATCATGTCTATATTTTGAGTCGCCATCCCCCCTAGTGTTATATAAGTATATTTGAGAAAGTTTAAGGGAAATCACCCCCACTTTATTTTTACTGTAACAACCAAACTTTTTGCTTCTGTCTTAATATATTTAATGTAACTGGTTAAAATATGTCACTATTAATGAGCAATTAATTTTATATTTCAATATGCAGATTAAATAGTAGTAATTGTTTTAAATTTCTACAGGACTTCAAGCCTCGGCTAACAACATCTCATCACACAGTTTCAATACGCTCATCTAAAACCCCTCGATCACTGCTCATTACAACAAATGAGGAACTATCACCTCCTAACGTAGTCAATTACAGAGACTTTGATGGCAGAGCAATGGACCATGGTATGCTATAAAAATTATCTGCAATAGATGGTGTTTTGAAATACATTAGATTGGCTATTATAGTGTGTGGTGTAAGCAATAGTGTATGCCTTTAAACTATAGTCTGTGTTGTGTCTTGCATGCAACGTAAATAATAGTACACAACTTCTGTAACAGAAACTAAAGAGAGAAGTGACATATTTGGTAGGTTGGGTTTGGAAAGTTTGGGGGCTCATTCTTTGTGAGTCAGATGCTTATTGTTTGATAAGATTAAGAACTATGGTAGCCTCTGAAAATCACTGTTGGTAACGGATGAACCATAGTAAGAACTGATGGGCCATGATAAGCTGTAAAAATTATAGACAGAAACATTGATGGGGAATGAGTGGTTTATGGTTAACTGTATAAAAAATAACTTTTGAAGCATATTAAACACGATGACTAATTGTTTCAGTGACTGGTAAAATGTATGAATACAACACAAAGACTAATGAACGCAGGTGGATCAAATAAACATCCTCAACACAGCTTACATTATACCCCATTACCTGTGCATCTATCATCATATTATACTTCCTTGTTATATTATATGTTACCAACCTCAATTATTATAACATATCTAATGCTTTCCAGAATTAATTACATCGATTCTATGTTTGAGTAAAACAAAAAAAAATTGTAGAAAGAAATTTAACAATTCTTTTATACCAAAGTTTAAAAATGTATTCCTATTTGAATTTATAATAATTTTTTTTTTAATTTTCAATAATGTTAAAATTTTACCAAATATTTTTTAAGTCTGACATTATTTTTGTTGTGAAAAAAAGTCTTGGTTGTTCCTTCAAATTCTGTAAAATTTCACAAATTTTGTTTAGTATGACATTATTTTGGTTGTGAAAAAAAAAGTCTGAGTTGTGCCGTCACATACTGTAAAATTTTAACAAATTTTGTTTAGTTTGACATTATTTTTGTTGTGAAAAAATGTCTGGATTGTCCTTTTACATTTCCTGTAAAATGTTAAGATCAGTTATCAACTTTAATTAAAACAGAAATGTGTTATCACCCAATAACTTTGTTAATTTAAAAAAAAAAAAAACCTGCTGTACGACAGTTTTTATTTTATTTTCCAGATTAGTAGTACAATAAGCATTATTTTCTCTAAAATATAGGAACCACTCATTTATATTTGTTTTTGTAGCTGCATCAGAGAAAGTTCTAGGTAATTGTATTAATTTTTAAAACATTTTTACATTATTGGTTTTTATTTTGACTTTCTGTTATTATTTTGGCTCTTGGTTATAATTTTAAAATCTTTTATTATTTTGACATGAGATTTTTATTTTGTTAATATTTCGACACATGTTAATCATTGTCACATTCTCATATTAATTTGATCTGGGATATTATTTTGACATTTGTTATCGTTTCGGCTTTATTATGTTGCCATTTGGTTATTATTTTGCAATGATAGTATCTCTGCACTTGACTGGAAATTTTACTTTTATAGAATGGTTTTTTTTTTCTGCTGGCACTTAATTGATTGTGGGCACTCAATATAAAGGATATAATAAGTACTTGGTTAGTTAGAAAGGTATCTATATATATAATTCTCTTCTGGGAGACGCTAGAAAACAAGCTGTAAACGCGCTCCCTACCTCCCCACCCCTACATGGTCTTAGTGAGCTGTGTTCACTCCAAATGTTTACAAACAGAGCCGGGTTATGTGACGACTATTAGGGGCAGATAATTTAGTTTAAAACGATTTTAAACGTAGGGGGGGTTATGGTCCTTAACGAGCTACTTAAAGTGTTTTAAAGAAATATTTTCAGTGGCAGCGTTAGTACTGTCGAATTCACAAATTATGAATTACTGAAAAATAAAAAAATAAAAACAACTAAAATAGCGGCGTATGTTATGCCGCGGGCCGGCTCGTTATTTAAATATGCTGTAAGTAAGCAAATATTTACTTTCTTGGTACATAAATAATCTCTGTCTTCAGGCAGTAAACAAGCATCCATGACATTACAGTATAAATCACATTAGGGAAATTAAGGCTTCTGGGCAAAGTACTGACCACACTACCCCCTGCATACCCAGACTATTGAAACAGTTGAACTCTATCTGCCTTATGTGTGTTGGGCATAAACAGAAAAACGTGATGTTAAAAAAACATTCTATAGATTTTATTTTAAAAATTTCCATTTCATAAACTTTAAGAACTTGAGCACATTGTAGTTATTGTTCATATGTTAATACAATGTTTTTAAAAAATAAATTTAATATAAGTCTACACAAATATATGCCTAGCCATTGCAGTGGCATGTGGACTGTCGCTCTATCTATAGACAACATGTAAATGTTTGAACATTTCAACTATTCTGTCCAGACAATAATTATAGGCTTAGTAAATCAGAACTCAGAACATCCCGAATATTATTGCTTACAAAGTTTCTATCTACACTACAGCTGCATTTTACATAACATGTGTCCAGCAGCATCTGATAGTGATAGTCTTTGTGCTGATGAAGTAGAACTCAACAATTTATTTGGCACTTACAAGAGACCCTACGGTGAATTGTGCAATGTAGGCCCTACAATAGCTAACCTAAAAATCCTTGTTGGTTTTTTTTTTTAATTCTTGTGAAGCAGACACTACAACTTATTTTGCTAGATCAAAAGATCTTCACATATCTTATCTTACTACCTAATATTAACGATTTGTCTACCTTGATACTGTTTACAGTTGGATTAAAAAACCAATAACAGAAAACCACCAGCTGTGTGGATTTTCGACCAATTTAAGACTAGCCTACGGCTAAAAGTAGTTTTGTTACAGATTGGTAGAGCATTAGTGGAAACGGAAGACATTTTGAGCTAGGCCTATACAAGATAAACTAAGGGTTAATTTGAGTAACAAAATCAATTGGATTCAATGTGTATTACACAATAAATTAATATAGACCTAATCATTAGACAATAAGCTTACACAAACTTATGAGATCACTGATTCGCTTGATAGTCAATGTTATTACGAACAAAGTATAATTAGGCTGTATTGTTTCCTTTCATCGTGACATATATATCTTGTTAACGGTAAATCGAAAACCTTTTGTAACCGAACGTGTTGGGCATAAATAGGGTCGCCGCTATATATAAGAAAAAACAGGAAATCAGTCATTCATTTGTCGAATAAGGATAAACATATAAAGTTCGACAATAATAAAATATAATCATGTACGTTATCAAGAGAACGGAGAACAGTTTTTAAGAACAACCGGTATAGTCTGGCTGTATTAGACGATTAGTGTAATACGCTACTTTGATTTAATAGTAGCATAGATCTATGTACAACAAACCACTTGTGGGCCCTATTTACTTTTCAAGACAGAGTTTTGTTGTTTGAAACATGCAGTATATTAAGTTACTTTTAAGAGGCCAGGTATGCCAAACAAAAAGTATTATTCTCACTAGTAGCCTATTACCTAAAACCTATTTGAATAAATAGTTTGCATTGAATTAGATATGTATGATAAAATTCAAAGATCTTGTGTAGGCTACCAAAACATCTGCCTGCAACTCGTCTTTTCGCATGTTTCTGGATTCAATTAGTTTTTATGTTGTTTTTCCCCTGACATATCCAATTTTTCTACGCGAATGTCATTAACTTGTCATTCAACGTCAACCTGTTGTAAGGTGACAACTTTTCAGTGTTATTGGGGTTTTAAAAAAACATTTTCGAAAAACAAAAGCTTGCACGCACCTACCGGACACAAATTCCAACGTTTCCGTGCTGAGACGAGGCTCGAATAAGCACCGAGAAAGCCGCCATAGCGTAGCGTGATATGGACGAATAGTAGATTAAAATGGTAAAATTCAAAGCATACTCTTGGTGTTTCTGTAATAAAAATGCAGAGCCATAAAACAAGTAATTGAATCAAACTTGAGTGAGTGATCAAAGCCATGCGACAGTGTAGCTACATTCTCGTCATCTGTCACCTGTTGTTGATCGCTTCTGGGCCATGCGCATCATTGACTGCTCCAGGTAATAATTTAACTGTTTCAATGTAGGCCTACTTGTTTAACGGTGGCAGAGGCGGATGGTGCGGACCGCACCGGATTGACACTATGTCACTATTTAGGGGGTGACACCATGTCGAAAAATTACAAAATATATATATAAGAAATATGCTTTTGCTAATCCAATTAATGAATAATTAGAGTGAATCCACCTGTATTAAAAAATGACGATATTACTGTAAATGACTTAACTGTGCACACTTTACAACTATCACCCTTGGGTGGGGGCATCTGCAAAATTTACAGAGAAAAAAGTTTTGTTGAGTATTTTGAAATCATCGACCGGGAATGGGGTGATTCATAATCTAATAATTTGCAATGAAAACGATACTTTTTCCACATGCATTAATAGGTGGATTAAAATAATATGTGCACTAATTGTAATTATATATAGGGGTTGTCCATAAATGATGTCACACTCGTAGGGGGGAGGGGGATCCGTAATTGTGTGACGGTGTGTGATGAAGGAGAAGAGGGGTTCAGATGGTGCGACATCACACTTTGCAATATAAAAAAGATGTTAGAAAACGAATTTTAGACGTTATTTCGCGTTTTAGAAAACTGTTTTAATAAAGTGTAATAGGAATTTATTAAAATACTCTATTTTGACAGAGTTCAGATAAAAAAAAAATTAAAATATTGATGTTTTGAAAATGAAATTCAACTGCAATTTTGAGGGGGGGGGGGGTTGTAGGCTGAGTAGAAAATAAACTATACACTACTATTTAAATAACTATAAAGAAAAGCGCGGGTCTCTTCTCAAATATTAGTAAAGGTATCCAATAAATGCTAAAGTGACCCACGCTTTTCTTTATAGTTATTTAAATAGTAGTGTATAATTTATTTTCTACTTTTTAGTGCATTATTACATAAAAGCTTGTTATTAAAACGTTTTTTTTATGAATTTGTTTTTCTAATAAAAGACTCATATAGGCCTATAACTAATTGACGTGGATTGTAATGACTGACGAGAAGCCGCGTTGGTTGTTAACAGTCTTTATTATGTACAGACGCCATGTTGCAAAGAGAGGAAGAGAGAGAGCAAGTGGCCAGAGACCACTATATATAGATAACAACATGTAAGGGACATCACTCAAGATAACAATATAAATATAATACTAATACAGAGAGTGAGTTCCCTTGACCTCACAATTATTTCAATCTATTACATCCCTTTACCCTTAGAACACAATAACACATCTCTCAATAGAACAATTGATAGTATCCTAAAATCACCAATTATATTGTAACATGAACACTATGGTAGATTACATCCTTACAAACAATGCACAATATGCTACAACATAATCAAAATACAAAACAATAATGTCAAAGTCCTTTTGACCTTTAGAATCATAGGTCTAACTTATTTGGGACTTTGATTGTCCTGCTTGACCTTCTCAGTGGCTTCTGATTTGGTGACTCAAGATTCTGACCATCTGGATTCTCTATCTCAGGAGGTCTAGGATTTAAATCATTAACTCCAGAATTTACATTTTCTGACTCCAGACAACTTGGTTCACTCATATCAACAGAACCTGGTTGTGGAACAAACTGAGTTGGTGTGAACTGTTCAGATTTGGTGGGATTGACAGATTCGCACTTATTATCTGCACAAGTTATTTTTAACTTTATAAGGCACAGGTCCTGTACATTGAACAATTTGACCTGGTATCCATTTTTCCTTTCTCCCATAATTTCTTAGATACACATTCTTATTAACACCAAATTCTCTTTCAATGAATGTCTTGTCATGATTTAATGGAACTATTTTTGAATTGGCATCTGAAAGTATTATGCTGTTATTCAGATCCTTAATTGACATAGATTTCTTTGATTGATCAATTTTCTCAGGTAATCTGATAGTGCTTTCCTGGTAACCAAAAATACTGTTTAAAAGTAATATTCTGGACCATATCACTTTGCAACTGTGATCCAGTATTTGAAATGGGTGTATTAAATGGCAAAAATCTTTTTCTTCTTTTGATGTTACCCTTTTAGTTTCTGTAAGTGCTAATGATGTTAGCAAAGTTGTTTGATGATCACATTCCTTCTTACTAATGTATTTTCTTTAAAAGCATTTGAAATTGCCATATCACCATAATCATTTATTAAGTTACGGATACTTTGTTTAGGCAACTCTGACTGATAATGGACTGCATCTTCTCCATCCTTTATATTATCTTCACAAAGGTTTTTATTTCTTATTTAATATGGCCTTAAGTCATCATTCACAGACTCTTCAGGCCAACCATTCTTACAGTACTCATATACTTTTATTAAGCACTCATCTTTTTGTGTTTCTCTTTTAATCATTCACATTTATATTGGAGTTATCCATGATAGTGAAGAGAACAAATACATCTTCTGGTACATAGCTCAGGCTTTGGTTTTTTAAAAGGTAATCTACTAAGACTATCTGCACTATTCTCAGATCCAGGTTTGTATTTCAATTCATAATTGTATGCAGTTAGTGTGATAGCCCATCTTTGAATTCTTGGTGAGGCATGCTCAGGTAGGGTTTTGTTTTCTCCAAATAAACCTAGCAATGGTTTATGATCTGTAAAGATAGTGAACTTCCTACCAAATAGAAACTTATGAAATTTCTTAACACCAAAAATGATGCCTAAGCCTTCCCTATCTAACTGAGAATAATTTTTCTCAGCCTGGTTCAAAGATCTACTGGCAAAAGCAATGGGTCTGTCACCCTTCTCATCCATGTGGGACAAGACTGCTCCTACACCATCTGGTGAAGCATCACATGTTAATATAAGTCTTTTCCCTGGGTCATAGTGAGTTAGTAAGGTGTCAGCAGACAAAGCCTCTTTTGCTGTATTAAAAGCAGCTTCCTGTTGTTTACCCCAGTGCCAAGTTGCATTTTTCTGTAGCAGCTTGTACAGTGGTGATAGTTTACCAGACAGATTCCCTATGAACTTTGCATAGTAATTTATCAAGCCCAAAAAAGCTCTTAGTTGTTGGGTATTTTCAGGTTTGGGTGCTTCTTTAATGGCTTTTGTTTTCTCAGGTTGAGGTCTGATGCCTTGTTTGCTTAATATATAACCAAGAAAACTAATTTCTGTCAGCATGAATTGACATTTATCTTTGTTTATCTTTAAACCTTTTTCACCAACAATTTTCAAGACTTTATCTAGTGTTTTAAGATGTTCAGTGTCATTCTTACCAGTTATGTACACATTGTCAAAGTACACACAAACATTTGGAATGTCCTTAAAAATACTGTCCATGACAGCTTGGAAAATTCCAGGGCTAGATGATATGCCAAAACATAGTCTTTCATATTGGTAGAGTCCTTTATGTGTGTTTATTGTCGTATAGACTTTTGAATCTGGATGCAGTTCTAGTTGAGTGTAAGCATGACTAAAGTCTAATTCAGTGAATTTGTCTCCTCCTGCCAAATTCAAAGAAATTTCCTCAATGTTAGGTATAGGGTACCTATTTAGCTCTATTTGCTTATTCAGTGTAGTTTTATAATCTCCACAAATTCTTATAGAACCATCCTTCTTTAACACTGGCACAATGGGTGTCGCCCAATCGGAATAGTCTACCTTCTTTATGATGCCATTAGATTCCAATCTACTTAGCTCATTTTCAATTTTATTCCTCATTGCATAAGGTGGAACTCTAGCTTTGCAGTATCTTGGATTTGTATCTTTAATGCTTAACTTCACTGTTCTATCATTTAGTAATCCAGAGTTACCAAAAACACATTTATTTTCAGATATTACTTTATCTATTGAAGTAAGACTAGATTCTTTTACATTCTTCAATGAACAAATACTCTCCCAATTTAACTTAAGATCACTTAACCAGTTCCTACCTAGTAATGGCGGTCCATTTCCTTCAACCACAAGAAGAGGAAGTTTAACACTTTGACCATTATAACTTACATGAACCATACACTCTCCTATTACCGGAACATTGTCACCAGTGTATGTTGTTAGACACTTGTGACACGGCTGTAGAGGCACTGATCCTCCTGTGACAGCGTCAAAATCTTTCTTTGTTATGACTGTTAGAGATGCTCCAGTGTCAAGTTGGAAGCTGATGCTCTTACCGTTGATATTAACTTGTACATTGATGGGAGCATGACTTATTGATTTAACAGAGAACAGGTTGAAATCCGGCTGCGAATCAGTTTGAGCATTTTCACAGGTAGAGTGGTTCATTGGTTGGGTTAGGTAGTCTTGGTGAGAGTTAACATAGTGCTGCTTTTGGTTGCGGTACTGTCTTGACTGGCTAGATTTAGCAACAGACGAAGACTTTGCAAAGCAGGCCTTGGCAATGTGACCTTGCTTACTGCACTTATAACAAGTTGCAGACTTGAACTTGCACCGATGAGATGCATGGGGACCTTTGCATCGATGACATTTTTGATAATTATTACTAGATTTAGATCTAGGATTTGAACGAGCAGGCTGTTTAGCATAAGTTGGAATGCTCTGATGGGGTTGATGTTTATTGACTAACCTGCTGTTTACTGCATGGATCTCTGAAGGTGCTAAAGATCTCACCGCATCTGATGACTGCTGGATTGAAGTTGCGAGTTGTATTGCTTTTTCTAATTTTAGATCTGACTCGAGCAGCAACCTTCTTTGAATATCAGGGCTGTTTACACCTGTCACAAACTTTTCACATAGTCTGTCAGACAGCGTATCGCCGAATTCACAAAATTCACTTAAATGACGTAAAGCAGCAACATATTCTGTTATTGACTCGTTTGGTTGACGAGTCCTACTGTCAAATCTAGCTCTACATAAAAACTTTGATGGGGTAGGCGCATGGTGGTCTGTTAGCAATTTGCTCAGCTCGTTAAAGCTCTTGGTATCTGGACTAGCTGGTGCGCATAAGTCCTTTAGTAGCCTAAATTGTTGAGGCCCTATGACTGTTAACAAAATAGCTCTCTTTTTGGCTTCTATCGTCACGTTGTTTGCTTCTAGGTAAAAG